ATCTAACCATTATTATTACATGTTAATACGTGTTAATAATAATTAATAAAATTTTAAATCATGAAGGAAAAAATATCAAAATTCCAGATCAGAATTGAAGATAACATCTTAAAAGGACCAGAAATTCTAGTGAATAAAGAACCTCTAGCTGAAATGCTATTAAACACCTTGAGAAGTAAGCCTGACTGCATCGGCCAGGTATAGCAATAAATAGTGTTTTCCGTTCATCTCGGTATTCTTAGTTGACAATTATGAATAATTAACATGTAGTTTTGGTTATACAGGTAGATAGTTTTACGGGTAAACAGTGCACATATGCCGACATGAGTAAGCGCAGTATTAGATGCGCACTTTGGTTACAACAACAGGGCATGAAATCGGGCGATATAATCGGTCTTTGTACTGATAGTAATCTAGATGCGATTATAGTATTGTTGGGCGTTATGTACTTAAATGGCAAATGCAATACGTGGGATTATGAGCTTTCTTTAAGTGCGTAGTTTGATTTATTATCACTTTTTCTGTTTATCATCTGTTTATCACTTTTTAATTATGTGCCATTCCTATCCTATCTTATTATATGAAAAATGTGTTTAAAAATATTCAAAAACATATATATATATTACTATGTATTCTTATTAACAAAATATAAAACATTAAATATAGTTTTATAAATTTAAGAGACATATTTTTTCAAAAAATAAGTTGAATAAAAATTCAAGATCCATAAAATTTATAAAGTAATTCTTATGAAAGAATTCAACTCTATCTGTCATTGTTTAACATTGTTCAGTCACTTAAAATCATTTCGTTCAATTTCAGTGACAGCACGATACTTTCTTTCATTAACGTTGCCAAAAATAATTTTTACGATACCAATATCGGCCGCGACTTTGAAGGAAGCAGCAAAAGAATTGAAATTGGATGTAAAAATAGTGGTTCTCGGCAAGTTAGATGGATACGAGTCGATGGATGATATAATAAAGGATAACGATAGTCGCGAGATTGCCGAATTCAAATGTACTCCAATCAGCAATTCTAACGAAGCTAGTTTCATTGTTTTTTCTTCAGGTACCACGGGTATGCCAAAGGCTACTGAGATCATATATTCTAGTTTGCATTACTGCCTGTATCCCCAAAAAATCGCTAAACTGACAAATAATGTTTTCTACATTCATTCGACATTACGATGGATTTATGGCATTTCGATAGCATTGCAGGCTATCGTATCATATTCAACTACAATTTTAGTACCAAAAAGTTTGATAGATATTGATGCCGAGTACATTTGCAAGATTGTCGAAAAATATCAAGTGAGTAAAAGTAATAACTGAAAAGCAAAATATTGAATAAAATGTAAAATCTAACGTCAGAAATGGAATTAGAATTGGAAGATGTGATAATATTTTTATGGTAATCAGGTAACGTTAATTGCTACTATTCCAAACACTCTAATCAATTTTATTAAGATGGATTTGTTGAAAAAGTATCACTTACCGACGTTAAGGATTGTTTTTGTTACTGGTTCTAACTTCCCAAAACAATATCAAGAAACATTTGCAAAAAAATTACCACATGTTTTAATCACGAATATATATGGTAAGTTAACGAATTTTTAAATACAACTTAATAATCTTTTTTTCTCAAATTAATTTGGTTTTTTATTTAATTCCTTAAAATTTATTATATATTAAAATATAAATACATCTATACTCTATCCTCTTTTAATATTCCACCTTGCATTTCTTAAGATATTATATTAATTAAATGTATGTTACAAATTATCTTTTAAAACTGTTAAAGATACTGCTACATTATATCCTGATTTAGAAGAGAAATGCTTGTGTTTGAACAATTTAAAAAAAAACTTTCAAATTAAATACAAAACTTTAATAGATGTTCTTTGAATTATAAAAAGATCCGAAGTTTTACATCATTTTGTTGTTAACACTATGCATTAATTCGTGATAGGATCTACTGATGTAGGACGTAAACTCACTGAACAAAGTGAGCACTATAAACCGGGATCCGTTGGTTTTCTTGAACCTAATGTTCAAATAAAAGTGACGGACACAAAAACGGAAGAAGCCTTGGGAATTAATAAAATTGGAGAAATACGTGTCAAAACGCCCACAATAATGAAAGGCTACTACAGGGATCCCGAAGCAACCAAAAATGCTTTTGATTCTAACGGTATGCAACTTGGACATTGAATTAAAATTTTTAATATTTAAGTTAGCAAGAATTGCAATAGAAAGATAATAAATAGCTAAAACGCGAATCGTTCAGGTTGGTTTCGTATTGGCGATGTGGGATATTATGATGCCAACGGAGAGCTCTTCATCGTTGGTAGAATATCTGAGTTTATTAACTTTAAAGGAAGCAACATTTTACCTGAGGAAATCGAAACTGTTTTGCAGACTCATCCTGCAGTATTAAGAGCAGCAGTAATAGGAATACCTCATGAAATCGATAATGAGCATCCAATGGCTATCGTCTCTGTAGCACGAGATAAAACGGTAGGTATCACATTTACATTTTCAATTATATTAAAGATAAAGTCAACAAAATAATAATCGCTTTTAAGTTTTACACGAGATTTATACAGAAGATATTGCATTTGTGCATTAAATGTTCCGTTTATAGGTAACAGAGCAAGAGCT